CATTGGTTTCTCATACAGCATCTCTGTATAGTATGTGTATTCACTCTCTGTCCTGAACGGCTTGTTGGAGCTCCTGCCCCCCCCCCCTCCCTGTGAGCCCAGTGTGCTCTGATTGGTCGGGACGTTGCGAGGCTCGCTGCTCAGTGAGCTGGCTTACTGGTGTGGTTTCCGTGTCGGCGATACAGCGGGACAGCGCAAAACTCATCCTGAGCACACAAACACTCACAGCCGAAGTAAAAACAATAAGTGTGGCTTGATATTGAGTAAGAAAAAGGTTTGTAACGCTGTGAGAATGGGTCTGCAGAGAGCATTTCTCCGCCATCCCAACTCGTCTATTACCAGCGTTCAGGGAGCTCTATGCAAGTCAACGGGACTCCCTGTTACTTGAACATTTACGCTAAAGGTCCTGGTGTGTGAGGAGCTCTGCAGATTGGTCCATTTTGGTTCCCGGAAGAAACAAATGGAAAATGAGAAATCTCCAACGAGGCGTTCTGGGGCAGCATAGACAGGTCTTTTCTGTGTTAAGGCCCGGACACACCTACCCGATTTTGGGAGTTAGAGGCATTCAGAGGCAGTTGGGCATTCGCGGCGCCCTACTCAGGTTGGTGTGTCCCGCACCGTCGTTGCTTTAAGGCACATTTTCACACCTCCCGTGGCCGATTCAACATGTTGAATTCAACATGTTGAATCGGCCAAAGAAAGTCGGCCAAAGAAATCACTCTGATTGGCTGTTGCCTCTTTTGAATGACGAATACACACTACCGCTGCCTGCTGGTAAGGACAGTTATTGCCACTCGTCGACTTAAGTCTTCGCGGCGTGTTCGTAGGCGGGCGACGTAGCGGACGTAAAAGTCGGGACGCCTTCGGTACGCGTTCTTTGGTCTCAGGTTGGTGTGTAGCGGCCTTTAGAGTTTTACTCGCTACAGAGTGTACTTTGAGGATTTGTGACTCTGCAGAGCGTTTACATGCAGAAAGACCTTCATAACACACAAGGGGACGGGTAATAACCGGAAAAGCATGACATGGGACCTTTAATATTGCCTTTTTAAAGGGACACAACAAAGGGACCTTTTGAAGTGACACCTCACCTCTAAATCACGGCTGTTGCATTGGATTTGACTGTAAATTGGGGTCAGTTGTATGATGAATGTGTGTTGTTGCTCACTCTCAACAGATTCCTGAATTTCACATAATTTAAAAAGAATTGGTTTGAACGTTCCACCTTCTGGATCCTTTGAAACTGACAGGGTGTAATCTGATCATATCTTTTGTAGTTTTCTACCGATGAGAGCACCTTGCATGCCTGTAAGCTTCTTTACTCTGGATTAATGCGTGTGAGAGCTGCCATCATCAATACATTTTCCACGTGTCAACAAAATACCAGAGATTCTTTTGAGCCCAAATCCTGGCTCATGTCTTAAGTAACATTTCTCTCAAGTGTTGCATAAATGGGTTTCCTCAGAAATGTATATTCTTCTTCTTTTCTTTTGCCTGATCTTACAACCCTGACGTTTATTTCACAAATGTTGAATGTAGCAACACCACAGCGACCAGTGCTCTGGTTATTCGTATACTTATTGACTTTAATTGAACAAGTGAGTGTCTCGACAACTGCATAAGTCTTGCTTAATTTGTCAAGTTTCGATGTTTTGTTTAAACTGTAAGAGTAAGATTTGTTTTACTTGACTAACTCTCAATCCCTTGATCTTAGTCTTTAACTTTCTTCACGCATAAGCAGCACTTTAGAACATGGTTTTACAAAATATGTTCTTAAATCTCTTGTAAATATTTCTTTCAGCACAAAAATGGCAAAAAAAGGACAGAATATTTTCTCAATTTCTTTCATTTCTTTCCCCTAGGGCAAGAAAAATGGTGCCCAGATGTTGACTCGGAGCAGCAACCAGGATCTTGATTTTCTACGTCAGTACGCCTCTCTCTTCTACCTCAACACAAACTGTAGCTGCACAGACGCACGTTGCTGTTATCACAAACTCCAACAGACACTCCACTTTATCACCGGGCTCCCAGACGCCGGTCATATAGTGACGGTCATACACTGATACCGGGCTACTTCCTGCTTTGCTATCTGGGGAGGAGCCACGTGAAGCAGCCATGTTTTATAGAGGTATGTGATGTCCAGGACCTCTGACGGAGCAGGTGTAGTGGCAGGAGCAGAAGCAGGAGAAGGAGAAGGAGAAAGAGAAGCATTGGAACGGGGGCGGAGCCACAGAGACGTTCCTCGGTTTGTGATTGGCTGTGGGGATGACGAGCAGGACATGGGTCAAATGGAGGCAGGCATGAAGAACGAGATGTTTCGAGAAGAGGATATGGAAGGCGATGACGACGAGTCGGTAGGTGTTAAAGAAATACTACGCCTACAAAATGAGCATTTGTTTAAAAAGAATCACCCCATGCTATCCGGAATCATCTTGAAAACAGAAATGAATATAAGATAATGAAGCTTAACAACAGCGAAACAGTAATAAAACATCTGTTAATGAACTCATACACAACTTGTGCTGTTTGATACTCAGTCTTAGTTATACACACATTAGCTCAATACCTCACAAACATGTATTTTCGCTAAGTAACTTTCTGAGAATGCTTTTTCACAAACTGTCTCCCGATAGTCACACTACTTATCTGTGTGAGTTCAAAGTAGAAAGACAGAGTGAGTTACTGATACACTTTGCCCATGAGATATGCCTCTCATTCAAGTTTACAGAAAGCTGGTGTAGAAGCTGTGTCTTTGCAAATAGACTAAGTAAAAATGTTGTTCCTTTTTGAAACGCTTTGATTGTGAAATATCAAAAGACTCCATGTTATTGTACCTAAAATCAGAGACCATGTGTTGCATTAAAATGACCTAATGTAACTGAAGTGTTCATGTGAAAAAATATGATTTAATGTTGGGAACAAGAAGCCAAAGTCTAGGTCATTTCTGGGCAGTAGGACATTTACAAGCCTGGGTATTATAAAGAGGAATGTTTTTATTAGGAACGGAAAATAAATGGAGACAAAAATATACAACGGCTGGCGTGAGAACAATGCAGAAGATAAACATCTGGTCTGTTGTGTAGTCCTTTAGCTATAAAAGGACTTGATGGCAGTGCTGTGTTAGCGGCTCGCTTACTTGTTATGATTTCTATGTCTCAGTGAGTATTTGTCTCTGTTTCACAATCTGATCGTCTTTATCCAGAGAGCGTTTTACAGGAAGCAGCTCAGCACGTCCATACTTTTCCTTTCAACTACATTACTGTGGCACATCAGCAAAAAGGCTCTTACTTACGTATTAGTGTAGCAATCAATCTACACAAAACTTTAAGTGTTTTCTGAAGAATAAGATTCTGTATGCATGCAATAATGTTTTAGTTTAGATGATGTTTTCTTTATCAACCTGCTGAATGTTTTTCCATTCAACAGTGCATAGATTATTTGGCGTTAAGCAAACTGAGTTATTGATGAGGTCGACGACATTTGATCATTAAAGCCCAATATTACAAATCTGAATTTTTTCACATTGTCTTTAATCCCCAAATGTACATGTAAAGCCCCTGACACACCAACCTGATTTTGGCCATCGATAGATGTCTTGCCGTCAATTAGCGTCCTGTCGCTCTACTCAGATTGGTGTGTCCCGCCCCGTCGTGTCTTTTCGGCCGTGCCGACACCTTCCGTTCCGCCGGCTGTCGGCTAAGGCTGCTCGATTATGGCAAAAACCATTATCTCGATTATTTGGGTCAATAATTGATATCACGATTATCCATTTACTCTGAAAACATCCATTTATTGAAAAGAAAATGTCAACAGTATGTTTTTAACAGTTGATTTCCCTGAACTTCAATTCAACTGAAAAGCCTATATATAAAAAAAAAAATAAAACCTATAAAAAACATAATAATAAAAAAATCGTTTTATTTCGATTATGTTGTTTTCATAATCGTTGCAAGCCAAAGTCGTAATTGCGATTAAAATACGATTAATTAAGCAGCCCTATTGTCGGCTAAAGGCCGTCGGCCAAAGAAATCACTCTGATTGGCTGTTCAGCTAGTGCAGGGGTTCCCAAAGTGGGGGTCGCGAGACCCCGAGTGGGTGTCGCGAGATGATTACAAAATAAAAATGAAAAAAATAAATAATAATAATAATAAAAAAAAATAGATTATTTTTTTTACTAGTTTACAAAGAACATTACAGCGAACACATCCTGTATAATTTCCCCGCAAGAGAGCTCCCCCTTTGACAATCCACTAGCGCACTGTTTGTGCGGAAAACCGGAAATTAATTCCTAGCACAACAACTCTGCATGAAAGCCCCATGAGCTTCTCGAATCTGTAGAGTGAAACGAAATGAGAACGCACACGCTATTTTTTGTCTGTTTTATCAAACCGCGTCTGTTCTTCTTCTCTCGTGTGTATCACGCAGTCTGTCTTCCGTTAGGTTGCCTCTTTGAATGACGAATACACACTACCGCCGCCTGGCTGGTAAGGAGAGTTATTGCCACTCCGCCATGCGCAGTTCGTACGTGCACTTGGCGCCGGCTGAATGTCTTTTGCGGTTGTGTTCAGGTGTGGCACATGGCCACACGTTAGAGATGAGGGGCAACACAACGGTCGTGTTTCCGTCGGGACGTGTTCTTTGGTGTCAGTTTGGTGTCAGTTTTGCTGTCAAGTTTGTGTCAGTTTGGTTGTCAGTGGGGTCAGGGCCTGTAAATGTTGAGGCTTTAGCTGGCCAATTTGTGTCTGCAGGTCAAATGACACCCTACGATCTAAGATGACTGTTGACGTTTAAAACCTTATCATGAAAGGCTATACATGAATACAAGAATTAAGCTGCCAAGCGCACTAATTCAAAAAAACCCTCTTTGACACTCACCAAGTATAACCAGTAGGGTCCAATACATTTTCAAAAATTCACTGGAATTCACATCCTGATGTTAGTTTGGTTGGAGTTTATTTGTTTTATAGTGTCGTGGGCCGAGTCCCCTTTTTCATCAACTGTCCAAACAACACGTAAATGGGACAGTCTTAGCCACATTGCTAATTTCCAGCCGTTGTCCCCGCCAGATGATAATGGACACCCTTAAAAATCTAAATACATCAAGTTATAAAAAAAGGATGGAAAGACCAAGTATTCTGTGCTCCTCTTGCTTTTTTTCATTAAACTTAAACTTGTGCGTTGCATTGTTCCATTTTTTCTGTCTTCCCTGTCAAGCCACCGGAGCGACAGATCGTGGTCGGCATCTGCGCCATGGTGAGGAAATCCAAATCAAAGCCGAATGACTCAGATCCTGGAGCGGCTTTGTAAGTTTGAACCTCCATCGACATGGTCATCCTTTCCAGAGGAGGTGATCCTGGAGGAAGCGGTGGAGAACTGGCCGCTCTGCGACTGGCTTCATCTCTTCCCTCCAAAGGTAAACATCCACCAACTTAATGTCAAAATCATCTGTTGCACGAGGGGAACATTAAAGGAGGTGGAGGGGAAATGTCAGGAGAGGTTTTGTGGCTTCGAGCGGGACGCTTAACTTAACAATCAGATTGTCACTACAAGATTTTATCTGCCAAAATAACTCAATGCTGATATTGTAAAATGTGCTTAAATAATAATCTTTATTTTAGTTTTTTCTGTTCAGTTTAGTAGCTATTAGGTCCAACAAAGAAAGACAAAGAGGAAGTGTGGTTTTTGGTTTGACTGAAGTTCCAAGGGCTTTTATTGTCATTCGTAGATACATAGCTACAGTGTAATATGGAAATGGAAATCTTAGGTCACAGGCACCAAAAACACTAAAATAAGTGCAAGTAAAAAAAAAATCTACAGGGTGTCCGCTGGGGTCTTTAAAAGTATTAAAAAGTTGATAATCAATTGAGCGAAAATGAAGGTTATTAAAAAGTATTAACGCATTTTTCCAAGGTATTACATTTTTGTAGCTTGTTCAATAAGTATTCAATTGTCCAAGAGAGGTTGCTATTTACGTCTGCCTGAATGTAATCATTGCGGTAGGTGTAGTGTGATTCTGTGTCGCTTTATTTATGGCATCCCGTTGGATTTGACGATCATTGAACAGGACATCTCACGCTCACTGTTGACTAGCGCGAAGTCCCGTTTACGCCGGTTGTTAAACCAAGACGTTATGGGGAAATGCAAGTTTGAGTCCAAATGGTTTGGAAGATAAGGAGGGAAGGACATCAATACTGTATATGTCAATTGTGAGTAGTGTGTTCGCCAAGGTAACCGTTACAAACTCCACAGTGGCGATTGACGGTCTAAAAAAGGTCTAAAAGGTTTTACACCTGACTTCAGATTTCCTTGTAATATACCCTGTACTAACAAAGCACTTATTACTATAAGGACTGGCTTATCTAAGCAGTTGTTAGCACTTGGAAATGTTTTGCTCTATTGAAACCTGATGTACTCGATATGATTCTGTTTTCTTCAAGTTTGTATCTTCTTGGTCGAAATGCACCTTGTTGTAAGTCCTTTGATAAAGCGTCAGTAAATGCAATGTAATGTAAAGTAAATATATATAAAAATAGAATGAGGAAGGCTTATTTGTTATCACGTTTTTTTTGTTTGTGTGCATTTCATAGGTGCCTCTGGACAAGCTGTGGAGTACGCCAAGCTCAGGAATCACTGCTCACTCAACGACCTCAACATGCAGTTTTCATTCCAGGATCAGGTAAAGAGGACTGAAGGGTATCACAGAGGAAGAAGCAATTTCAAAATTAATGGTGCTCATAACCACAAACAATGATGTACAACGAGGTCATTAAAGGTGGACCATATCCATGCTATTTTGAATAATTTAGTGTAGGCCATACTATATGGCATATTATACTTTTTATTTTTCAAAATTACCAAACCGATCATGAATTTTGCCATTCCTCATTCGCTCAATTGGAACACTGTCTTTGCATGGGCTGATTCTGTGAGAACGCACCATCTACAGGCCTGGCATATGTACTACAGCGTCTCCAGCGCTCTCCACGTCAATGTCCGTGGCTGCCTCCTCCGATTGGGAGTTGGGCCCAATAGCCGTAGCGCCACTTCTGTGACGTCATACGAAGTGTTAAAATCTGATCAGTTCTGTATCAGATCGGTTGCAGCCCTTTTAGAGATTTGGGTATGGAGGAATAGAGAGGGTTGTGTTTTCTGACCTTGGTTGAGGTTCCCTGGACACCGGGGACAACATATTCATGTAGAACAGGCGTACGAAAGTGGTGCTTTTGCATGATGGTTACCCTTTAAGTAGCTAAAATCTCGTTATGCTACTTGTTGAAGAACGATACTTGAATGGATGTTTCTCTGTATAAAATCAAACCAATATAACTGCACAAGGTTTTTTCACCCCCTTATGGTCACTTTCAAAATGCAGAAGCTGGACTCTTCTTCCACATCATTTGTTTGCACTTGCCGTTATTAATGGAGTTAAAACATGACTGTAATTGCCATCTTCCACACTTTCTACATAACTGTTTGGGCTGCCTAACCCAGCAAAACGCATACGTGCACTAGAACTGCATACATTGAATACTGATGTTCTTTTTGGAGTTATTGACTTTTATTGGATTTTCCATCAGGAGGGAAGTTTACAGGATACTAAAGAGAGGCTCGGACTGCCTCGGTTACGCTATTGAACAGGACCCGACATCCTGAGGTGAGAAAGTTATATACTTGTGTGCAAATAAGTTTGCAATGATTTGGATGGGAAACTAAAATAATCCCATGAATAAAATATATTAAATTGACTCCATCTTGTGAATACACAGAATACAGGACATCAGTTACGTTGAATATGCACATATTTTCAAGTTTATTTGAAACCAAAACAAGAAGTCGAGCTGTCAAAAAAACAAATCGATGGTAGCTGGATTGTCAATTATGTTTTTGCCTGTTTTTCCTCCTATAATGGTGAAAAATGCTGACAGTGATTTTTAAAGAAGAGTGTTTGAATTTAATATTTTATGCTGTTATCTCTAGTAGATTGTTAAATAAAATTAAATAAGTTTGTCAAAATCAATGGATGTCTTTGCATACATGTTATGTGGAAGGCCCTCCTGTAAGATCTACACCTATCAACTTTACTTTATGTATTTCCTTTCTTTGAACTATTCCAGGGTACTTTTTGATTACTGCTTACTATGTGTTTTAAAAGCCGAAGTTGTCCCCTGTGCAGAGTGCCCTGGGTGGAAGGGGAGGACCACGTATGAGAGTGAACGGGGAAGTGTTCCTACCTTCGTGCGAGAACCTGTGTGTGCCGAAGGACCAAGTGTACCTCTATACCCATCGTCTTGCTGGGGGGGCGGCAGCCAGAGGCTCTTCAGAAGGTAAGAGCTGGCAAATTACACAGGAGATATTATAGGTTCGGCAAAAAGATGGCTCTTGATCTAGATTTTTTGAAATACTGGACAGTTACGCTTACGTTCTTCACTGCTTTTGCAAGTGGTGATCAACGATCAGCGCACATGTGCAATGTCGGTGTTATTGTTATATAACTTTAGCGAGTTCCAATTGCTGCCCTGTAACATCCCTTGGTTTTTGCTCATACCGATCCTGATACCGCATTGATGATATATTGACAACTTTTAGCCCTCCGATACCGTATTTACTTTACGCCCGATCCCATTCCCTCTTGGTTATTGTTCAAGCGATATATAGAGAGATCAAGTAAAGTGTTCAGTTAGTTCACTTGAGGTTATTTTTTATTTAAATTTGATATTCGTATCCACATGGATATAGCTTTTTTCTCTTTGCTCGCATTGGATCCAAACTAAATAAAGCATGCTTTCACTACTCGTTAGCTTACTGCTAAATTAGACACTGCGCCCCTGCCCACTTCTGTTGCCAGATTGGAGAGAAATGCCTAAATGGTCATATGAAGATAAGCCCAAAGAAGTAATATCCATTGATGTTGTGGTAATGTTGAATAACACAAACTTCACCGCGCACTACAGTTCACTGGCACTTTTAACGCTTGACAGGTGGGTCGTTTTTGTTTTGTAACATTATTCACAAACTCATAATTAAATCACGACAAAACAACTATGAATAAAAAAGCAAATCCGATACACCATACGTTTTGGTTACTGTTCGCCGATTAGACTTCCTACTTTGAAAATTTCATCCTCTAGTTGAACGCGCTCCGATCCTACCGATCACGTGATCGACCAATCGCGGAAACTATTTACATAACCTAATTCTCACCCATACCTCACACTAATACTATACTATTTCTATTGCCTAAGACATCATGTTTCGGGTTGTTCAGTCCAATTACCTTATTAAAGTAAGTTTATCGGATTAAACATAGATACTAAGTCACTTTCATCAGGAAATTTAGCAACTCTGAAAGGCTTCCAGATGTACTCTGTAATTTGCAATAATAAGTCGTTTTGACTTAAAGCAGAGAAAATAAAACCTCATACTTGGAATCTAGATAATGAATTCGATGGATGTCAGGTCTTCTGGGCAGAACTTGACAATAACTTTTATTTGGTCCAGCAATATGAAATATAATTCAATAAAATACAAACCTATATGGCTATTTATCCTATAAAATTATAGTTAATGCGGAAAATTGAACGTTCCAAGTGAGTTGTCATATGAACAGCATTTTGTAATGTCAATTGCAATATGATTGATCTGAGTTATGGAACTAGAACAACTTGACTCTGCTTGTCTCTCAATACCCATTATGGCGCACTATATTTAGGCGCGAACACCAAACTGAAATTAACACACATTAAATCAAACAAAACCTATGAACCATTTTACACAAAACTGAACAATACAAACCCATAAATAAGCCAGACTTTAACTGGTCCTACACAAAAAAATACATGAACTCCTCATTGAAAAACTCTCGACTAACACTATCAGGCAATATATAACAAACACCAAACAATGATCTATCTAATCATCTTCCTAACCAACTAACACTGAAATACACTCACACAAGGTTCTTAATATAGTTGTAGCCGTCTACTCAACTATCCTATCTGATCATTACAAAGGAACTAAGCTACTAAAGCCATCCCCCAACTGACAAACCCAAGCAATGTAATAAAACCAAAAAAGTAAAACCCGATGCAGAATTCACACACACTAAGCCAAAGCTGTCATGTCCTACAGAATTCGTCACACACCCCATTCACACCACCACCCCAGCCACAACCTGACCCCACACTTAACAGCTCTCACAGCCTTCCCAGAAACAGGAGAACTGAATTCTGTCTATCGAGAGCGCTCTGTTATCTTTTGCTGTATTACTTCAATGGACTTTTACAATAAGGCTTAAAACACATCCTCAGGATAAACATGAATAAGCTAGTCTGTGAGGGGTTAAGACATCACATATGATCGGATGTATACTCAGTAAACACTGTATAAACAACACGAGCCCGCACAAACCGGGATAGGAACTATTGCAGTAGTAGAGCATACTCCAGTAATGTCGATATCGACACACT